CATTTTCTGAATTTCAAAGGTGAAAAGCCCATATGACAACTAGACTTTACAACAACATCAAGAGGTGGACTCAATGAATTACATCACCCCATCATGTCTACTTCAACGGAAGCACTGTGTGCTCAATCTAGGAACATCTCGTCTCAGGGTGTGTGCAGACGCATGCGTGTGTTCATAATAACCACTGAGTGTATGTGTGCATGATTGATCGTGGGGTGTGTGTTTGCCATGAACCTTTTTTTTTTTTTTTTTTTGCCTCAGGGGATCCCAGACTGCTCTTCCGGTAAACATTGTTTCCATAGTGATAATGGGGAAGAAAGGAAGGATGCGAAAAGGTGACAGCAAGAGTAATACGAGAGAGAATGTGTGTGTGTGTGTGTGTGTGTGAGTGTGAGAGAGAGAGAGAATCCAAAGAAATAAGCTGAGTGCCAGATGTAATCACATCACAGGGAGATAAAGGGAACATTGTGAGCTTGGGATCATTCCTTTATTCTTAACACATTTCACAAAAAAAACACACATTCAAACCCGAAAAATGTTTAAGATTTGATTTGATTTCCTACCAGCATTGTGCTCATGTTAGAGGGTATCCCTTTATGTGTTTTTAGAAATAAAACAAATAAATGTAGAGAAAACACAATGTAGAAAGTGCATGAAAATAAAAACTTTCATAGTGAATGAAGATTCTCTCATTCGTACCAATAATCACTTGAATCAGTGGACCTCAAAACAACAGATTAATATAGACAATAAGGTAACTGTATCTGTCATCTCTGTTGTCAATTAGGATGTTTTGTCTCGTGAATATGCAAATGTATGAAATGTTAAGGGTGCTAAATGGAATATAATTATATTAAACATTATGGCCACCTTCAGGGCCTCATGCATTCTGGCTAAAATCCACTGCATGTAAATGTGATCATCATGGACAGCAACCCATGTCATGCATTTCTCAAGTGCCTATGATATTAACAAAATACAATTTCGAACATTTTATTATTAGCATTTTTGCTTTACAAATTCTGAATGAGTGTGAATCTTTTTTTACTTCACGTGGTGCCCATCACTATGGAAGGCCATTTCTGCCACGGAATCAATCAAATTGCAGAACTGCAAGATATAAACTCAGAATTACGAGATATAAACTTGTAATTCTTAGAAAAAAGTCAGAATTGCAAGAAATAAAATCCGAATTCTGACTTTCTTT